AAAAAAAAGAGGATTAGGCGGGAAATGCGCTCCTAATGTGCGCCTAGGCGAGCATTAGTCGTGCCTAGGCGCGCATTAGGTGCGCCTTTTAGATTGAAAACGCATTTTTCCCGCATTTTCCGAATTCGACGCGTTTTGGTCGCGCGTCGTGTCTAGGTGCGCCTAGACGGCGCATTTTCCCCTTTTTTAGAACAATGGATAATGTTAATAATATTTCTCTTTTCAGTGGCATTGGAGTGAATAGGACAGTGGACAACTATCTCACATGCCAGTTAATCTTAGTAGTTTAAATTCCTGTCCAATCCAATGTAACGAGCATGCGATTGGAGTATGAGCTTTTTGAAGAAACTGATACTCTGCTCCATACTTGAGCAAGTAAATAATGGATTTCAATACATCTTCTTGTTGAAGAATGAAGACAATTGGTTCCCAGTTTTTTAATATTAGCACAATATACATTTTTCAGGAATCTGCAGTAGCCTTTTCAATTGGTATTCTTTATGCATTCCTTGATTATTGTTTAGTGTTAAAGCAAAGAATTGCTTCATATCTAGGCGATCCAAGGTAAAAGAAATCCTAAACCCAAAACCCAAAACTATAATCTTGTGGCTGATGAATTTTGCAAAGCAACGAATGGATTCAACACTCTGAAATTCTTTCATTGAATTTTTCCAGGGTACAAATATGTTGCAGAAAGGTAGGGCTAATTTCCCTCTACTTTACCCCCCACCATACCACGCCCTACCCACCCCTACTTAATTCTCTTTAGATCAAGAAATTGCTACCAATAGGATACTTTAGATATGCTGATCATAGGATCTTGGAGACTTTACATTTCATTGATCGTCTTTTCCTTGTTTTCTTACTCTTTTGCTAGCACATTTACCATTATCAACAACTGTCCTTACACAATATGGCCTGGTACACTAGCCGGTGGAGTACCTCAACTTCCATCAACCGGGTTTCAACTGGACTCGGGCCAAAGTATTGCAATCCCAAGTGTTCCAGGATGGTCTGGTCGCATATGGGGTCGGACGGGTTGCGCATTTGATACATCGGGTGTTGGCTCATGTCAAACAGGGGATTGTGGGG